CTCTCTCTCTCTCTCTCTCTCTCTCTCTCTCTCTCTCTCTCTCTCTCTCTCTCTCCTTTCGCTCCCCAAAATGAACATAGTGGGAAGAAAAAGAAGAGGAGGAGGAGGAGGAGGAGATTGGATTTATACCCCACCCTTCACTATCCAAAGGAGTCTCAGAGCGGCTTACAAACTCCTTTCCCTTCCCCTCCCCACATCAGACACCCTGTGAGGTACGTGGGGCTGAGAGAGCTCTGACAGAAACTGCTCTGTTTCAAGAAGAGCTGTGCCAGAACTATGGCTTGCCCAAGGTCACACCATCAGCTGCAAGTGGAGGAGTGGGGAATCAAACCCAGTTCTCCCAGATTAGAGTCTGCGCACTTAACCACTACCCCAATCTGGTCCCTGCACCCCTCATTCCCTCAACACAAATCGGCATACATTAGCCATTTCAAGTGGGGTAAAAAAAAACTTACAGTATAAACTGAAGAGCGAAACGAAGATTAGGACCATGCTGATGTGAAGGGTGGAGGATGAGCTGCAGTCCGGTTTGCTGTATTTTGTGCAGGAACAGACCTGCATTTTCAGTTCTATATTGTTAGTGAGAGGAGGCGTCCCCGAATCCGTCACAGAGATGGGGATGTTGTAGTGGGACTTCTTCAAGTTTTGAGGCAAGATGACCTGGGCGTGTGTATCTGGCAGAAATCAGGAAGCGACAGTTAGGGTGGCGGAGGCTTAAGAAGCATGCGCGAGCCCAAATATAGCATGCAACAGTGACTCGTTGGAGCCAGAGAGAAAAATGGGGCCTTTGCGTACAAACAGGGTTGCCAGGCAGCAAAGGGAAGTGAAAGTATCATGTCACCAGTGACAAGGGACAGTCTGGTATCTTGGGTGAAAACTCTATGGTAAAAATGACGTCCACCACAGAGGCAACCCGTGGGGGATGGGAAGGACTTACCAGGAGTGGGAGGGAGGCCCAGGAGAAGTTGCTGGTGAGGTGGCGATGTCACTTCCACGGTGTACAAGACATGACATCTTAATGCTGTGACACTGTGCTGATGACGATCTGGCATTTGGGCAAAATCTCTATGATTAAAATGGCTTCCACCATAGAGCATTGCCTTGACATTGCCGACATGATGAGGCCGCTTTTGGTGCATGCTGGAAGCAGGGCTATTTTTGGGTAGGAACGCACAGGAACGGAGTTCCGGCTGGCTCCCAAGTTGGCCACGCCCAGCACAAACTCGTTAGCATAATAGGCCACACCCAACAGCAGGAACTCATCAGGATTGGCTACATTAGGGGTGTGTGGCCTAACATGCAAAGGAGTTCCTGCTACAAAAAAAGGCCCTGGGTTTTGACAACAAACAAGGTAAACAGAATAAGAAGGGAAAGGTAGGTGTGGCTGGATGACCACACTTCTGGTAACATGGGGGTGCAGCCTAATGTGCTAATGAGCTGTGCTGTCAGGGGTGTGGCCCAATATGCTAATGAGTTCCTGCTGTTGGGTATGGCCTATTATGCTAATGAGTTCCTGCTGGGCTTTTTCTACAAAAAGAGCCCTGGCTGGAAGTGATGTCACCACATCAGTAGCAACATGGCCTGGGTCTCCCTCTCCTGGTAAGTCCCCCTGTTGGTCTGCTGGTTGGTGGCAGGGGGCAAGTTCTGGTGGCAAGGCACCCTGCCTCCACCGGGGGGGGGGGCTGGCAGCCCTACATTATACCCTTCTGAAATCCCTCCACTCCCCAAATCATGCCCTCCCCATGCCCAACTCCCCCAATCTGTAGGAATTTCCCAACCTAGAACTGGCAACCCTATTGTGCCCTCTGTGGATTGATAGGTCTGTTTCAGCATACAACAAAGTCCTTATATTTAGGTTTATCCAATCCCCTCTTGAAGCTGTCTACAAGCATAGACAGCTTTGAGAGGGGACTGGATGAACATATGGAGCAGAGGTCCGTCAGTGGCTATGAGCTGCAAGATATAGATGGAACCCTCTGTCTGGGGCAGTGATACTCTGTATTCTTGGTGCTTGGAAGTCATATGGATATATATTGGACTGCATATGGATATATATTGCAAGAGGGTATCAGTTGAAACCCCCCTCACTTAAACAGCAGTGCAACTTGCATGAACAGAAGAACGGTTAGATCCATCTGCACCAATTCCTTTGATTTGACCAGAGGTCATTTCGGGGCGGAACGTGGGGGAACGCAGTTCCCCCGGGTGAGGTGCAGGGAGGCGGGGCACATGACAAAGCCCCGCCCCCTGCTTCCGGCCGCCCCGCTTCCAGCCCTCATTCAGCCAGGAGGAGGCAGGAGAAGAGGGAGGGTAAGTTGCTCCCTCCCCGCCTCTCCCCACCCCTGCCTGCCTGGGGTCAGGGAGGGCCTTGGCGGGGCTTCCTCGCACTCCTGCTGGCCTTGCAGGTCCACCGCCAGGCCCCTGATGTCAGGGGGTGGGGCATATGCTAATGAGTTATGCTAATGAGTTTCCCTAGCTCTTTTTCTACGAAATGACCCCTGGATTTGACTGGGTCGCTTGCCATTCTGTGCAGTTGGCAAGGGCTACTGCAGACAGCAAGGAGCTGCGGTGGCTCAAGTGGTTAAGACGCTGAACTGCAGACCGGAAGGTTGGTAGTTCAGCAGTTTGAGACCCAAGTGCCGCATGACGGACTGAGCTCCCCTCTCTAGTTCCAGCTCCTACCAACCTAGCAGTTCGAAAGCAAGAAATTGCAAGTAGATAAATAGGTACCACTTCGGTGGGAAGGTAACAGTGTTCCGTGTGCCTTGGTGTTTAGTCATGCCGGCCACATGACCACGGAAACATCTTCAGACTGTGCTGGCTCTTCAACTTGGAAACTGAGATGAGCACCACAACCCTAGAGTCGGATTTGACTGGCTTTCGAGCAAGGGAAACCTTTACCTTACTGCAGACAGCATTCCAAGTTGTTCCAGGGTGAAGGAAAGACCCACAGTTCTTCAGGCATCTGGTTTGCGGCTTTTCTATGCAACTAGAGCCACGGGAAACTGCACCAGGACTTGGCCAATGTTCATCATCTGTGGCATGAATTTTGCACCTTGCATACTGTTCTAAAAAAAACATTTCGGAACCATTCCTAAGATTCTATAAAAGCTAGAACATCTGCGTTTGCAGGTGTAATTAAGCAGGTGGGAAAACTTGCATGGCGGATGCAAGAAATGCTTTGCCCACACCTGTAATTTCCTCCAAACAAAAACCAGTGGTTGCATTCATTGCCCCATTGTCTGGAATTATGGCAAAGCACCCAGTGGGCTCTGTTTCCCAGGGCACCATGTATTTATTTATTTTTTCCAATTGATGAAGTGGCAGAATTCCCACTTGCTTCAAGAGCAGAAGATTCAATGCACTGGGTGCCAATGAAATAGATGCTGCTCTTCAGGGGGACCCTCCATAGAAACCTGCTTCTGCCTTCTCTGAGTAATTGAATTTGTGGCCAGCTTTATGTCGGAGAAAATCTCTGCTACAACGGGAGCAGTTCCTGCCAAAGCTTTAAGTGATGCCAGCTAAACATATGAATTTAATGTTTATTCAGGCTCCGATCACACCGCAACATCTGGCAAGCGTAGCACACCCGTGGCCGACCTGTGGTGTCTGGCCGCAGATGCGCAGTTAAAAAGTACCTGCCAAACTCCACTAGCAAATGGTTTGCCACGGGCTGCAGATGGACTTGATCCATGTGATCGCGCCGGCACGCACCTATTCCCTCCGGCCATCCTCCGGACAAAACCCCGGTGCACCGCCGTCGCATCTGACCGCATAATAGCAGGTCAAAATGCCATGGCGCAAATAGCCACGCCTCCTCCCCCCCACGCGTTTTCTGGCATGTATGACTGGGACCTCAGTGTTTTGATTGACTTAGGGACCCTCAGTTGGGTAGAAATGCAGCAGCACAAAAACATTTTAGATAAACACAAGAAGCGGGACCTGCAATACTCACGGGGGGGGGAGTATGCCCCATGGCCCGCAAAGTAGGAGGAGTTCCTCACTGAGGAGGAGGCCACAGGTGAGTCCAGCAGCAATGGTGGCAAGCCTTGCGCAGGTCCCAGCCGCCCGCCCACCCAGGCTCCCCCCCTCAGCCAGCAGCAACTGCAGAGAGCCCTGCGTTGCTTCTAGCTGCCTGCCACGGCTCCCCCCCCCCCCAGCAACAGCAGCAAGCCCTGCTCGGCGGGTGCTCGCCCGCCAAAGCTCTCCTGGCTCCCTCACAGCTGCCACAGTTCCAAACGGCAAGTCCATTCTCCACGCATGCTCGAGAATGCAGTTTCAGGTTTTTTGGGACTTAAGTATCCCCATATATATATATATATTTGAACATGTCAGATTTTTCTGCACACCTAAGTAATGCCTTGAGTGTGACGGAATTTCTGTTGAGCCTCCACATGCCCCCCCCAATTTGTGGAAATAAGTATCCACACACATTGGGGACACTTGGCTATTAGTATATAGATATAGAAACATTGGATTGAGTAGGAGCCACCACCACCATTACTCCACCAACGCCTTTTCATCACCGCACTCTACTACCACAGGTGCAGGTATCACCAAGGGTGCGGGATGTCCCTAGTGGATGACAGGGTTGTGGGGACATGTATTGTTGTTTAGCTAAAACATCTTCAAAATACCATCTTGGTTTTATGATTCGGAGTGAGTATCGGAGCACCGAAAACATATTCTTACTAATTTTAATTAACTGTAATACTAGTATTATTGTATTTTATACTGTTTTTATTGTTACAATTTGGCATTTTGCCCTTGCTAGCTGCCCTGAGCCTTTGGGGAGGGCGGGATACAAATCCAAAGAATGAATGAATAAATAAATGAATAAATAAAGGGTGAGAGGAAAGAAGAAAACTGGTACTACGTCAGTTACGTCCAACAGTCTTACTGTTAATTCTGTTGATCTTCCATACTTTCTCTTGGCCAGACTGTTTGCTCAGCTCAAATTTGAAGGGCTCCGTGTTGGGGCGAAGATCCTTGTCCAAGGCTCCGAGGATGACCTTCACGTCCTTCTGATCCTCACAGACCATCGCCACCATGGGATAAATGGAGGGGGCATTGTCATTCACATCCTCCAAGGTGATCTGCAGCGTCCCCGTACCTGTGGCCGGAGGGCTACCTACGGGAAAAGTGACCGGCATTTATGAATGGGCCATTATAGCGGTGACAAGTATTCATTTCAAACCGTTTCATCCCGCCTCTTAGCAGTTGCATTCTCGAGGCAGCTTCTAAATAAAGAATCACAACCAATAAAAGGATCATGAAAAGAGTCAAAAGCAGGTGGCGTTAGGAGAGGAGACATAAAACATCAGCAAAACCATCATTACACCCAGAAGCAATAAAACCATCCCCAAATTTACAACTCACAGCCTAAAAAACTAATTAAGAAATGCAGGAAACAACATAAAATAAATGACTGAGCAAATGGGGGGGTGGGGGAAGCACCCCGCCTCAGACACTCAACAGGAAACCCAAAGAGGAATGCACAAAAAATTCCAGGATTTTTGTCAAGTTTTCAGTTAGCAACCCAACACAGACCAAGCTAGATGCACTATCTGATTCAGACCCATCAAACAGCTCTTCAGTATATTTAGAAAGAAGGTTCCTGATTTTGGGGAAAGAACCCTAGATGTTATTCTTGAAAACAAGTGTTGCTGTCAGTACCGATATTAGGATTTCTTGAAAACCTGTTGCTTAATTTAATTTTTTGGAATGAACTATAAAGCAAACGATACAGGATTGATGACTTTGTATAACTTCTGAGAAGACAGGAGGGCCTGCCGTGATGAGCTCCATGGGGTCGCAGAGAGTCGGACTCGACTGTGTGTCAGCAAGCTGCCAATGTGTTTCCCTGTACTCTGTGTATGCTCTTATGTTTCACTATGCTCTGTGTGTATTCGTATGTGTCCTTATTCTTTGGGTATGCGCTTGTTTGCTTTCACTTTCCCATGTATGCCTGTTTATACGCTTAATTGCCTAGTTGCAGTAACGTCCGTATCTCTCAAGGCCACAGGTGGTTGCTGGCGGGTAGTAGCTTGGGTGATCGCATGGCATTATCCATGAGAAGCAGTATGTTATGATTAAGTAGGAGCATTGCTTCCCAGGCTCAATGACGCGCACGGGAAGTCCCGCAATTGGGCCTCAGCTTTTTGAATTAACTATAATCTATTGGGATCCATGCTTATGCCTCACTCTGAACAGTGATCTGTTATGCACCTATTGCTTCAAATAAAGGAAAACCTTTTCTACAAGTGTGTTCTTCGTTGATGCGATGGGAGTCTGACACTGTGCGACTGAACAACAAAAATTACTTCTGAAAATTACTTTTAACGTCTAGCTTATTACATCAGTATCTGAAACTTTATTCATGTACAGTGCTGATGTGCAATTGGTGGTTGTTTGTAGTTATATTGAAAAAAACTTGCCCAAGGTCATCCAGCTGGGTGCAAGTGGAGGAGTGGGGAATCAAACCCGGTTCTCCCAGATTAGAGTACGCGCACTTAACCACTACACCAAACCGGCTCTCAGTGGGGATCTCAGAGGGGCATAATACCATAGAGTCCACCTTCTACAGCAGCCATTTTCTCCAGGGGAACTGATGTCTGCCGTCCGGAGAACATTTATAATTGCGGGAGATCTCCAGCCCCCACCTGGAAGCTGGCAACCCTGACCCTGGCTCAAATAGATTTCTGTTGTTGTTGGAAGGCACTTGAGTAAATTTAGTGGGCATGGATTATTAGGGATTAAACCCTGGTTTACCTTTACCTTTAAAGGACAAGAAGCAAAGAGTAGGAATCAATGGACACTTCTCACAATGGAGGGAAGTAAGCAGTGGGTCCCACAAGGATCAGTATTGGGGCTGGTACTGTTTAATAGATTCATAAAGGAGGAATAAGGGCCATTGTGGGAATAAATACAACGAGCTCTAGAAAGAGGCTCTGGGCGAGTGCCCCAGCCTTGGCCAGGGAGGCTGGGGAGGGAAGGGAAAGGTAGAGGGAGGCAAGCCAAGTTTGGAAGGCGGCTGTTGGGAAGGGAATGGGAGAAAGGGGGAAATGGGGGTAGGTTATAAGAGAAGGGGGTAGATCAGGTCCGTAGCAAGGATTCTTTTTCCTTGTGGGGCATATTTTTTTTTCTTGTGGGGCAGACAACAACGACAACAACAACAACATGAATTGCAGCTCCTAAAATCTGGACTGCATTTCACTCCCCTCCGATCATCTGTTACACCTGACAGCTCCTCCTCAAGGAGTGAAGCTGACCAGAAGCTGCAAGTGGAGGAGTGGGGAATCAAACCCGGTTCTCCCAGATTAGAGTCCGCCCACTTAACCACTACGCCAAACTGGCTGGGTAGATCAGGTCCGTAGCCAGGATTCTTTTTGCTTGTGGGACATTTTTTTTTCTTGTGGGGCAGACAACAACAACAACAACAACAACAACATGAATTGCAGCCCCTAAAACCTGGACTGCATTTCACTCCCCTCCGATCAGCTGTAACACTCCTCAAGGAGTGAAGCTGACCAGAAGCGGCAGGGTTGCCTTCCTTTCCTTCCCCATCCTCAGTGCAGTGCAGTACAATGTCATAGAGTCCACCCTCCAAAGCATCCCTGTTCTCCAGAGGAACTGATCTCTGTAGTCTGGAGATGAGCTGTAATTCAGGGAGATCCTCAGGTCCCACCTGGAGGCGGGCAACCCTAGTCAGATACCCTATCAGACACGGAGCCCAGCTCTTCTGGAAGAATGACAGCTTTCCACCGTGCGCTTAGGTGTCTCTTCACCTTGTGAAACCACAGCTGTTGCTCATAATCCATTCCTTGTGCATCCGACTATTTACACCATGAGCCCAGCTGGGACCAATGCTCCCTCTAAGCTGTACAGTCATGTGAGCAAAAATTCTGCTTTGTGAGCTACAGGCAGGGCTATTTGGGGGCAGGAACGCACAGGAACGGAGTTCCGGCTGGCTCCCAAGTTGGCCACACCCAGCAGGAACTCATTAGCATATTAGGCCACACCCAACAGCAGAAACTCATTAGCATAATAGGCCACACCCAACAGCAGAAACTCATTAGGATTGGCTACATTAGGGGTGTGTGGCCTAAGATGCAAAGGAGTTCCTGCTACAAAAAAGCAACCCTGGGTTTGGACAACAAACAAGGTAAACAGAATAAGAAGCAAGAGGTGGGTGTGGCTGGGTGACCACACTTCTGGTAACATGGGGGTGTGGCCTAATGTGCTAATGAGCTGTGCTGTCAGGGGTGTGGCCTAATATGCTAATGAATTTCTGATGTTGAGTGTGGCCTATTATGCTAATGAGTTCCTGTTCGGCTTTTTCTACAAAAACAGCCCTGGCTACAGGCATTAAAGTTGTGAGCGAGCGATTTGGCTGCTGCATAAATTAGTTTGGTCTGGAGCCCCATCCTTCCGGAGCCAAGACAAAAACGTGTGAGCTGGAGGCTAAAAACGGTGAGCTAGCTCACCCTAACTCAGCTTAGAGGGAACACTGGTCAGGACAGAACAGATATCATGACTCTACCGCATTCCACAGCGATGCTGGTGTCCGGCTGGAGAGTAGACAGGTGCCGAATGAGTTTCTCTGTACAAAACATGGTGCGCTGCCCTGGCGTCCAGCAACAGACTTTAGACGTGTGCCAGGAGATTGCCAGGCGGAAGGACAGAGCGGGTAGCTACCACCCCACGCAGGCACTGCAATTTTTTAGCCTCATGTCTGAAAGGGAGCCCCAGGGGGTGCTGCCGGAAGCATTTCTAATGCAGACATCTGTCTTCTGGGAGTAGAGGTGAGACCAGCAGCTCATTCCACTTCGGTCAACAAATAGCTGACAGGCGGTAATAACCTGCCGTCACTTTCCAGAGTTGATCCAATGACCTTCCACACAAGTGGGAAGTGCGATTTCTCATTACTTCTCTCTGTGGCCATACATGTTCTACGCGGCAGCTGCTTGCCAAGTAAAAACACACATCATTTCCATCAATCCCACCGATTACACCATTTCGGGGGGGGGGGAGTGTTTTGGTTTCAGAGTTTTGTGTCACTTATAGAGAGTGAATACATTTCCAATACAGTCACAGCCAATTCTGCATCTCTTATTTTGCGTACAAACTTCGTCTGGCCCAGGCTAGCCTGATCTCATCAGATCTCAGAAGCTAAGCAGGGTTGGCCCTGGTTAGTAGAAGAAGAAGAGATTGCATTTATACCTCCCCCTTCACTACCTGAAGGTGTCTCAGGGTGGCTTACCATCTCCTTTCCCTTGCCCTCCCCACAACAGACACCCTTTGAGGTCGGTGGGCCTGAGAGAGCTCTTTCGAGGACTGCTCATGAGAGAACACCTCTGAAAGAACTTGTAACTGGCCCAAGGCCACACCAGCAGCTGTATGTGGAGGAGTGGGGAATCAAACCCTGTTCTCCCGGATTAGAGTCTGTGCTCCTAACCACTACACCAAATTGGCTCTTAAGTACTTCAGTGGGAGACCACCAAAGAATTCCTGGGTTGCTAAGCAGAGGAAGGGAATGGCAAACTAACTGTACTCATCTCTTGCCTTTAAAACCTCATGGTCCTGGGTTGTCATGAGTTAGTTGCCGCTTGATGGCACTCAATTATTGTTATTATAAAAGTGATTGCTTGTGGACATAGAATGAAGAGTAGAGTGTGTGTGTGCGCGCTAAAATATGCCTCCCAAATGCTCTAGCTGCTTCAATGAAATTTATATTCCATTTTTTGCTTTCTACCAGAGGAACTACAGACTAATTAAAATATAAGCTGTTGGGATGGGAGGGAAAAAATCCTAGCTGTGATGCCTCAGCTATTATATATAAAAAAGGCAAAATTGTCAGAGTTTTGGACTCTCCCGATCTCCCTTTCTTTTTAGCTCCCCCCTCCACCGCAAGGGTAAGGGTTGACTTCCTTTTAATGAAAAATAAATTATTTTTCACTTTTGCTGGACTAATTGAATTTTCCAAAAAAAGAGCCTCCCGTACATTCCTTTTCTGTTCTTGATATATTATTCAGCCAAGTCAGAGAGGAGAATGGATGAAAAGACATTTGAACATTTGAAATACGATCATACGAGTCAGCCTTTCATACGCTTAATTAAAACACTATCTTT